TGGAAGATGCGCCAGCAGCACTTTATAGGTCTGCTGAATGGGACCACTTTGCATTTAGAGTGACCTACGATGACGGCGGAAAGAACGTTGTGGATAAAAGTGCAACAGTGTGCAAGCATTGTGCAACATGTTTTGTTTATGCTAACAGCAACACAACCAAGTAACATGCTAACCCCCAAATCCCACATACTCCGTCAGCGCTCCACTCTGCCCCGCTGCGCTCCAGACCGCCTGCACAAAGCAAAGCCTAAAGCCTCTGCTGAGTTCCTTGGAGATCGTAGAGGGCATGCATGAGATGATAAAATTCAAAGCAGCGAAACACGCGGAAATGATCCTGGGTTTCCGCGGATCATTAAAAACACTTACAATTCATTAATTTTTTGGGATTTTTTCATTAATTTCATTAATCTTTATGGGATTTCGGGGTAACAATCAACATATACCGAACCAAACCGAAAACCGTGACCACAAAACCGTGAACCGAACCGTGGATTTTGTGAACCGTTCCACCCCTAGTCTTACACTGAGGAGAGGCTTCTGTCCCACCACTCTGCCCTGACTGATAGAGGGCTGCAGTAATAGTTGACTTTCTCCCGTCTTCCTACTGCATCTGTGGAGCTCAGTCACAGTGATTCTTCTTTACCTCGGTCACCAAGGCTCTTCTCCCAAGATTGCTCAGTTTGGCCTGACGGCCAGGTCTGAAAAGAGTCCTGGTTGTCCCAAACTTTTTCCATTTAGGGATTATGGAGGCCACTGTGCCCTTAGGAACCTTGAGTGCTGCAGAAATTCTTTTGTAGCCTTGACCAGATCTTGCTACAGTTCTGTCTCTGAGCTCCTTGGGCAGTTCCTTCGACCTTCGATTCTCGTTTGCTCTGACATGCACTGTGAGCTGGAAGGTCTAATATAGACAGGTGTGTGCCTTTCTAATCAAGTCCAGTCAGTGTAATTAAGCAAAGCTGGACTCCAATGAAGGATCAGAAGAAATGGACAGCATGTGGGTTAAATGTGTCAGCGCAAAGGGTCTGAATACTTATGACGATGTGATGTATCAGTCTTTCTTTTTTAATAAGTTCGCAAAAATTTCTACATTTATGTTTTTGTTTGTTTTTTTCTGTCAATATTTGGTGCTGAGTGTACATTGAGAAATAAAATTTACTTTTTTGATATTAGCAAATGGCTGCAATGAAACAAAGAATGAGATTTTTTTTTTTTTTACCTGAAGATTCAAAGCCCTATACCCTAACCACTAGGCTGCCGCTCCGGGGTCTCAATACTCTCCGTACCCTCTGTATGTTAACTTGGGATTTATCCAGTTGAAAATACTTTTATCTATCACTTCTTTTTGAAATTATATTAGATCTAAATTTAATACATTTCTTGATGGAAATTTTATCTTTAGCTACAGTTTAGAAGGTAAAATAATGTTGCTAAATAAAAGCTCAGTACTTATAGGGATTTTAAGCTACTTGTATACAAAGAGCAGAAACCAGGATTAACACATTGAGGCCTAGGATAAAACTATGTTATGATTTAATTAGAGGAGACGGATCTGTTTAAAACCTTTATATCCAGCTCTCTGTTTTTATTGGAAGCAAGGCCGCGCTGCTGGTAACATATAGTATCTCTGTTGTGATGTTGTAAACTCACGGAGCACCAGCCAGTGGCTGTGTGGGTTCATCCTGTGCTGCCTTAAGAAAATAAACACGTCATTTTATTCACTGTAGCCCACAGTTAATCTGTTGATGTTTGCCTTTCTGGGTCATTTGAGGTAGAATTTGTCTCATTGTTGTAGATCTTCCATTAAGTTGGAATACTAATGGTAACCTTGATGTTTATTTGATGCATGGTGGTTCCCCTAGTTCACCTCAGTGTGTTAAAGAAGTTGGGAAATTGTCTGCCTTAAGTTGTTGCTGAGTTTTGGGTTAAATTATCTTTTATTTTGTCATATTTTCTTCCTATCAACTCTATCGCTCATCTAAATCCCCATCACTATGCAGGGGACCAAAAAATCTCTCCTGGTCAGCCGGGCCAACAATGTCCCTAACGACACCTACCTTTCAGAGGTATAGACAGGATTGCAGGTTAACTGGTTCAATTTGCATGTTTTCAAAGTCAAAAACATGGCTTTGTTTGGGTTACTCTGTAAAACTTGGAACTAAACGCTAATTTTTACATTTTGAATTGAGAAAGCTTCCTGGATGGGAAGCGAAACGTCTTAAAACTTGGAAAGAAGGTCCAGTGGATTGTTTTTAACTTTTTTGGAATGTTTTTGTATTGCGTAAATAAAGAGCTTCGCAACTGAACCTTGGTTGCAGTGTGAGAAACATACCTGTTGGGAAACGTGCTACAATATCAAGATGAAAGTCATCTTTAGTATAGACCCAGCTCCCAACCCAAGTTTGAGAATAGATTAATGGCGAAATTTCTTAATCTCCAAATTAATGCAGCATATTAATGCCGATAATGGTCTACCACTAATATATATATATATATATATATATATATATATATATATATATATATATATATATATATATATATATATATATATATATACACACACACACACACATTAGGGGTGGAACGGTTAACAAAATCCTCGGTTCGATTCACGGTTTATGTCGGTATATGTTGATTGTTAGCCTGATATGTTGGACGTGTTGCTGTTAGCATAAACAAAACGTGTTGCACAGTGCTTGCACACTGTTTTTATCCACCACTTTCTTTCCGCCGTCATCGTAGGTCACTCTAAATGCAAAGTGGTCCCATACAGCAGACCTATAAAGTGCTGCTGGCGCGTCTTCCAACTCCTGTTCTTTCCCACTCGCCATACCCACACAATTCTCCACAACAACTGATTTTTTTCTGCTACACCCGGCTAAGCTGCTTCTTCTTCTTCTTCTTGTTTACTACTGGTGGTTGGCTTTGGTCGCAGTACTGCCACCTTCTGCTCTGGAGTGTACACGCTTCGCCTATGAGGAAAAAGGAGCAGCGCATGAACCGAACGCAACACACGCAAACCGAACCGAGACAGTCGAACCAAACGGTTCGGACGGTTTTCATAAACCGTTCCTTCCCTAATATATATAAATGTGGACAACTAGTTATACAAAGTATACAGGTCAACTAGTGTTCAAATTAGAGATGAAATCAGGGGCAAACATCCAGTTTTTCTGCACTGCAGTGTTTAATATGATATGGCGAAGCAGTGTGATGGAGTCATAATTTTGTAGTTTTCAAGACTAAAATCTTTATCCTCAACTTCAGAGTCAGGAATCAAGGAGAGTCAGTCAAGTCGTTCAGAAGGGTTTTGTTGATGTGTCTGAAGTCATGACAGGTAACCCTCAAAGCAAGTCCCGAGTATGAAATTGAATTTCAAGTCCTTACATGTCTATTTTGAACAAGGCATGCTTATGAACATTTGGTATTAGGACCAATTTAAATAAAGTCTATTCTCCATTCTTTATGCTGCTTCAAATGTCAAAGATCTTTGTCTTTAATCCTGTTTTTCAATTCAGGTTAGCTTTTTAATTAGTAGTTTGTAAATTTATAAGTCCCCCCAAAAATAACATTTATTATTGTGGGGTGAGTGACACAAAGTATTGATGGACACTTTTCAAATGATATGCATTTTTAAAATTGTATATTTTTGGTGTTCATGTTGAATTCCAGTTCAAATCCCGACTCATTAGTGTAAAAGTGTAATTCACAAGTCTCTGAACATTTTTGATAGACTTATTATAAAATGAATGACTCCATTCTGACTCAGGTCCAAGTCATGTCATTCCTCTGGATACGACCGTACCGTACCTCATCATTCATGTTGTAAGCGATTTGTCTTTTTCAGAAGCTGCGCTTTTCCCCAACGAGCTTTTAGCTTTCATCAAATCTGAAATGATCCTTAGCTTCCCCTCCATCTGTTTATTCAGTAAGGCAGTGTTTAATAGAAAACCAGCAGCTTCAGTTTAGGCAGATTAATGCTTCTAATCTTATCTAGTAACTAGTTCGGTGGGTTCTATTTTCTTTTTTTTGTGATCATTTATGAGTCAGAGGAAAAAGCTTGAAGGCAGAGCTGCTGACGAATATCTCTACATGTCCCGGCTCTTAATGACGGATGTCTGTTATTAGGAGTTGCTGATTATTCCTAACCATCTCATCATAATATTGGCGTGCGTCAGTAGTTCAGTCAGAAAGGAATGCCTCGGATGTCCCATCCTTCCAGGATGTAATATTTTAAGTGTCATATGTTTTTACGCTCCGTATCTCTATATTTGGCCTATTGAATGGACGTCCCTTAATGCTTTCACCAGGTGTGTTTCTTCCAGTGGCTCGGATGCTGCAGCTCATGGAGAGTTGTTCAGACATTATGCAATGGAAAAGGAAGGGAACTGTCTGGAAAATCAGAGTTAGTCCTAAACAGTATATTTATTGTAATTAACAGCAGTTAAATATATATTTGCAAAATCCTTACTGTTGAAGGAAGCTCATTAACCATTGTTGAAGATTAATGCGTTTCCTCTAGCCTGTCTGCATTTCCACTGGTTGATGCAGTGATCAGTTCTGCTAAATCTGTGAAATAGTTTTTTGAATAAGGGCAAAATTATAAATAGACGACGTAGACGAATACTCTGTACGGCTGTTAAGCAAATAAAATTAAACTGAATCCCTATATTGTAAAGCTACATGCCTCTAAGTTGGATATTTGGAAAATGTGGTTGCAGCATTGTTGGTCAAATTTACTTTTAGTCTTAAAAATAAAAACTGAATGGGTGTGTCAGATGTTGGGGGGTAAAAAAAGAATCTGGACGTTCAGTAGAAGCTTCCCCATAAAAGATTATATGAATAATTTAAGGAGCAACACATATCGTTTCAGTTTTAAGTCTTATTTTGTTTGTAATATTTAGTTTTCTTATTTTCTTCTTGTGGTGTTTAACACCTTATTTGGAATAAACGGCAGCTTAAACAGCTGATTTCTTAATTGTATTATTCTGTCTTCACAGGTACGCCATCATGTGTGGAATCATGGCAGAGTATGATACAATCCAAAACAAGATAAAGAACGGTTATATCTTTAAGGTAGTGTACACCTGAAGTATCCTATTCATTAATTTAATAGTTTTTAATTTTTTCACATTATTTATAGCCATTAAGAAGTTCTTTTTTTTTATAGAGCTTTATTTGATAGAACAAAAAAAAATGCCTATAGTGAGAAAAGAAAGAATGGAAGAGGATTAAGACGTTAACTGATTTTTACATTTTATTTCAGTTTAACATGGGAAAAATCTGTTTAATCTCAGAATTCTGACTTTTTTCTCAGAATTCTGACTTTAATCTCAGAATTCTGGATCTTAATGTAGATGGGCACCATGAAGGAAGAGATGTGGAGCACTCAGCTTCACTGACAAAGATGTGAGTTGTTTGAGAGGGCCAGTGACACATTGGTGGAAAATGACGGAATAAGGCAACTTTTTACGTGCCCGAGGGGTCCCCTCATTAATGGAGGAGCAGAAGGTCATTAAAACAAGAGAGCTAGTCTCTGTTCGAAAACCTAGGACGCATCCTTAGAAGACCGGATTCGAAGGCCGATTACGTCATAGCGCGGCGCCGAGGTCTGGTCGGATTCCAAGAGTCCTCGTTATGCGGCCTTAAAATGCGTCCTTCTTTTTGCCCGATTTGAAGGACGGGTCCGATGTATCCTCGGTATTCTTGGATATCCCAGGATTCATTGCGAGACCAAGCAAGCTGTGATCAGAGGAAAGGTTACTTGGCGCCGAACAGTGGTGAAAATTGGAAGTTCAGTTTAATATAATACAACTCTGTGAATAGTTCCGTCTGAAATGAATGAAAATAGTTGTTTTAATGGTTACTGAGTCAGATATGTGGCAGTAATGTTTGGTCTATCTAAAGGTTTTAATCTGTTACTGTGTAAATGGGTTTGGCTGTAATTTAAGGACAGATACTAATATATTTGCAGGGTGGGGACTATAAATCTGATAGGATTTTTATCTTTTTATTGCTATTTTGCACAATATGCTTAACTTTGTATTTTTTGTTGTTGAATATTAGAGATTTTGCAGATATATTTTTTGTAAATATATTGTTTAGATTTACTTATATCTTTCTACCCCTTTTATAGAATAGAATAGAAAATCCCTTTATTTTCCCACAATGAGAAAATTTACAGCAGCAGAAAGATTATTGAAAGTGGTCACACAAATGTGGACCTTAGAAAAATGTATAAGAATAACATAATAGGGAAGAGTTAAAATATAAACAATATAATTCTGTAAAGTGCTTTAACAATATAAAACTGGAGAATAAATAACCAATATGCAGCTATGGACATTTTTACAGTAATGGATATTTGAAAATAGCAGCAACATCAGAGATGTGCAGAATGACAGCAGCAGGTTATTTAACTGACTAAGGTTTCTATCATTACATTTGATTTTATTTGTTCCTGCTCCCGGTGGTTGGAACCTTTATTCCACTCTGGATTCTTGTGAGTGTAGTCTTTGTTCACTTCACAATAAAAAATAAATAAATAAACAGTTTTGAAAACTTCTGTATTCATTCTTTTCCTGCTTTGTGTGTCAACGTTCACGGTTGCTAAGCAACAGAGCATACACGGTAAAACCCGCCAAAGGGTAGACCTGGTCGAATTTACAGCCAAAACTCTTCCGGTCTCCTTATTTTCAAGGACTTCGAAGGATCCAGTCTAGGTAGACCGCGTCCTTGGAGGACCCGTCCTAGGTTTTCGAACAGAGCCCTAGTCTCTAAAACAGACATGGCTATGGCTTGATGCTAACATGTTTGTTAGCTGTCAGAATTCTGAGGAAAAAAGTCAGAATTCTGAGATTAAAGTCAGAATTCTGAGAAAAGAGTCAGAATTCTGACATTTTTCCCATATTAAACTGAAATAAAATTTAAAAATCAGTTAACTTTTTTTTTTTTTTCCCAGTGGCCCTAATCCTCTTCCGCACTGAAAGAATGGATGGTGTTTGAAATATTGTTATGCAGATAAGATTCTTGAATCCATTGTATGCATTTGTTGTTGGGTGTTTTTTTTTTGTTCCCCTTTTCACAGTGGCCGAGAGGTACAAACATACTGCAAAATGCATAAATGCACTACAAATAAAAAATTTAGATGACAGAATTTATATGAATACCCAAAACACATGCAAATGAGAAATGCTGCAATCACAGAACATCGAGAGAGGTAAATGTAAACACCCTGCATACACAGAAATGATTCTTGCATACAAACACATAATACATGGAAGGTAAAAATGCTGCAACTAGTAAAAATAACTCCAAGTTAAGGAAAGCTCTAAACTAGCTCAGAATAACGCAAAAGCTCCAGACCACTAGAGGGAGACTAGAGGAAATATAAAAACCTTTAAATAAAAACCTTTTTTTTTTAAACTGTGAAAGAGCTCTGTCAAGAACCCCTTAAGTGGCATGAATTTAGCTTCAACTGGTTTAAATTCCTTATAAAATCTCCTTTAAGGTACCTTTTACAATCTGATTATTAATCGATTAAGAGAAAAAAATAATCCACAGATTAATCAATTAGCAAGATAATTGTTGTTTGCAGTCCTAGATTGTCTCCCCCTAGTGGTCAGGAGCATTATGCAAAGCCAGTTTGCAGATCCTTGGTGCAGCAATTTTACTTTGCATGTGTATTGTGTGTTATTCTGTTAGCACCATTTATTCTTTCAACAGGTTTTGTATTTGCAGCATTATTGCTGCTCTTTATTTTATCTCCTTTGCAGCATTTTCCTTTTGCATGTGTTTCATGTATTTGTGTAAGTTTTGTGTTTGCCAGTCTCTGTATGTGGGTGCAGTACTTTTAACATTTGCGGCTTTGGCCGCTAAATAAAAGCCAGAATGTATTTGGCTCTTAAAAAGCCTTCTTACTATTAAATTGAGTCATCATGTGAGTAATTATAAGACAGCTGCTCCTCAGAGATTTTTAAGATAATATTAGGGAAAGATTGGCGGACAGGTGAAGGATGCAGTAATGTGAAGGCTTGTTGGAAAACTAACACCACATTTTATCTTTACCCCCTCATAGTGATACATGTTGGTGGCAGCATCATGATGTGGGGATCCTTTTATTCAGATTAATGAAGTTAATGTAGGTCCGTCCTGGAAGAAAAACTTACTTTTGAGGATAGCAGATTTTATTTAGGGGTGCCAGCTGGAAAAAAAACTTTAAATACAGATACCAACGTTGAAAAAAGAAAAAGAACTTCAGTATTCTGCTCTACTCTGTGCCTAAAAACCCTAATACAATATACTCAATTCAATTCAGTTTATTTATATAGCATCAATTCACATAACATGTCATTTCAAGGCACTTTACAGTTCGACACATCATACAGTCAAATTGATTCAAAGTTTTCTATCTAAGACCAAAACCAGGTGATTGCATCGACTTATTGACTCGAATGCAATCCCACACACTAAGCATGCTTGTAGCGACAGTGGAGAGGGAAAAACTCCCTTTTAACAGGAAGAAATCTCCAGCAGAATCAGACTATGTAAGCGGCCATCTGCTGAGGCCGACTATATATTGAAGAAGTATTGTTGACTATATTGAAGTTTATTGTTGTCAAGTGCCAAAATATTACTGAGGAAAAAGATTTGAATACTTCAACGGAGTGTAAACAGAATATGTATAATACACCAACTGTCATCTTTCTTGAAAAGGAGCAGGAAATTATGCTTTTATCCCTTAAGGTGCGAAGCCCCTCCTACAGACAGCAGCTTACATAAGCAGAAGCATGGAACAACAGCACGTAGCATTTTATCTTTTGTCAGCAGCTTTGCCAAACACTGTGTACCTACAGAGCTCTTGACAGGTGAATGAGCGAGAGATAGGGAACTGGAGAGGGCAGATTGGATAAAGAAAGGGGGGGAAAAAAGCTCCTCAAAGAGCCAGGGAGAGGAAAAGGGGAAGGGAGGGTCTGTGACAGCAGGGGTGCACAGCTCCAACAGGTTTGCGTGTGTGAGAGGTGTTTATGAAATACTTGTGGGTTGGTGAAGCAGGACAGATCAGGTCAGGACAGAAGGCAGTAAAAACAGCAGCTGGATCATGAATCAACAGTGAAAACGGTCTGTTTCTGTCTCCTCTCCCAGGATCATCTGGATAAAGCCATCGAGCTGAAGCCGCAGGACCCCCTGTCTTACTACCTGCTTGGCCGCTGGTGCTACGCCGTATGTGATGCCTCCTTTTTTCGCTCCATTCTGAGCCCAGAAAGACAGAATTTAAAAATTTCTGTTGTCCTGCTCCGGTGTCCCCCCCCTCCCCATGCTAACCCACCATGGTCCCCTCCCCTCATTGCCACTGTTTAGGCTCTCTTAGGGATTTGTTTTTCCCTCTGTGATTTGCACAGAATGATAGCTTCATCCTGTTTCTTTTCTTTCTCCTTTTCGTTTCCGTTCTGCTGGTTGTTTTTGATTCTGATAAAGCCTGTTTTTATGGTCATCACGCTATGTCTTTCAGGCACAGTCATTGTTGTTATATTTGGCAATAATGTCTCATCAGATATATATGTTTTTTTTTCATACTGAGCTGTTTTCCAGAATGACTTAGTTAACATGTGGAGAAACTTTTTCATGGTTAATCAAGACCTTCTGTTGGGGTATAAATCCGATGTGACACAAAGGCCTGTTTCTCTTAGAAATTCTTCAGAATGGTAATGAAAAAATATATATTTAATTATAATATGAAAACCAATATTTTTAGAAAAATCTGTTGGTTTAAGTAAAAGAATTTGCATTGAAATAAAAAAACTGGTTTTTACCAAAACACTCATTCCAGCTCTTGTAGATAATATTTTGCACAACCCTCCTTTTGGTTTAGGAATGCATGTAATCTCCTCTTCATCATCCAGAGTTTAGGGGCATGTCCTCCATTTTTTTTTTTTTATTATTTAGTTCTAGTTTTCCAAAATCTTTGGGGGAAAAATATAGGCCCATAGCATCACAGCTCCTCCTCCTTACTTAAGGATGTGAGGTATTTTTTCCCTTGTTTCAAACCACATACAGTATTTGTTCCTGTTCAATCCAACTTTATTATAAAGGGATATTAAAAGCAAACGGTTGCTAATTTAAACTATAAATGGGGACATAAACACACAACTAACTAGATTCATGATTTATTTAACAGCTCATCTAACATTTCTCATCTTTTAGGCAGAATGGCTGTTTTAGTCTCGTTTGATCAAAGCAGACAGTTCAGGGTTTAAATGTCAGATCTTTTTTAGCAAACTTCTATATTTTCATTTTCATGGTAGGACAGGAAAGACGTGTTTCTAACATGAATAAACTCTCTAATAGCTGTTATGAAGATCTGGCCACTCTTCACTTCTGTTACCTAAAATGAAAATTTTTTTTTAAATACTTGACCATCCATCCATCCTCTTCACTTTCCTTGTCCAACAGAGGTCCAGCTGTAGCCGTTTTAAACTCTATTATTCTGAGTGAGGATAAGGTGGAGTACACCGTTACAGGATATCATAAAAATGATTAAATGTAAGGGGGGGGGGAACATTTACATTTATTTTGGAGTCACACAAGGAGTTTTCAAGATGGCGCTGTGCATGCAGCAGCCTGTTACGTCGGTTCTGAGTTTTCCTTTCCTACTTTCTCTATTTTATATTGTTTATTTTTTTGGGATGTTTTTCTATTAATGAATACCTTATCTGCCTACTATAAAAAAAATTTTAAAAAGCTGTCGTATGTGGGCACACTGTAAATATTGTATATATATCCCATGCTAATTTTTCTTCCTTTAGCACCTTCTTCTTCTCCCTTGACTTTTTGAGCTGATGTAAAAAATAAATTTCTCCACTGTGAGATCAATAAAGGTCAATAAATCAATCAGTTATAGGAATATTCCTGCAATGAATAAATGTACTTAGATTAAAAACTTGATTTCTTTCAATTATTTTTACATGGTGCCACAGAAAGAAAGACATTTCTTACACATCTTTACCAGAAATGCTTAAAGAAACAGATGTATCTTGATTTACCTATCCTTTATGATGCTAGTATCAAATCCATGGATAGAGTTGTCTTTTAAACTTAACTGATCTTTCTCCAGGTTGCTCAGTTGTCTTGGATTGAGAGGAAGGTTGCAACAACGCTATTTGGAGAACCTCCAAGTGCCACGATTGAAGATGCAATGAGGAATTTTCTGAAGGTGCGCATTATGTTATAAAAACAAGCAATTCGATGAGCTAACCATGTTTTTATATACATAGTAAAATTGCTTGACAAGTTATCATGCAAGGGAGCCTTTATGAGGCTTTAAAAATGTCATAAAGGTGATAAAGTTGCACCTGTGTTGTTTCAAATGCTTCTTAATTAGGATAAGTTATTATTTTTCAGTACCGTTTGGATGCTTTCTTGAGGGAGCTCTGATTATAAAACGCATTTTACCGCAGATTCCTGAGTAAAAACGTGCCCCCAGGTCGCTTCTGTGCTTAGTTTTTAAAGAACAATCTGTGTTTTTTTTTTCATAGAGGCATTCTCCTTGTTCCAACATTTCAACTGTTTATACAGAAGAGAAAATACTCTAGCTTCTGGCCAATATTCCTGAGCGTGCTTCTTTCTGGTGTCTCGCCCTTCAGTTTAGGTGAAGTGGCTCTTGCTACAACATGCCGGAAGATTTAGAGTACATCTACTTTAGAACAGATGATTCCTATAACTGAAAAAAAAACAAAAAAAAAACAATAAAAGAGGTGCGAGATTAGGAGCTGAATTAAAAGTTCACAGATTGCTTAAAAGTGCACGTTCACCATTCAGATTCTCTCATAAATCAATGATGATTCAAGCACTGGTTTGTTTAGAGAAGGTGGGGTCAGGGTGGGGCGGGTTACTTCTTTGTATGTTCAGCATCTTTAGTCAGATGAAGCTAACCGTAGTAAAACTGCGAAAAAAATGCTGTTTTGCTGCTGAACAACTTCACTGCTTCTAAAATAAAAAAAATTCTTGTATTCCTATTTAATGCAGGTTGAAGAGATTCATCCCGCCTACTCAAAGCTGAACTATGTGTTCCTGGCTAAGGTCAGTATGGGTTAGTTATAGGTCTCGTCTTTAAAGTGGGACCAAAATGGCCTTTACTGTGTCTTCTCTTCTCTGCTGCAGTGTTACAAAGCATTGGGGGACAATTATAAGGCCAGGAAGATGTGTGAAGCAGCATCTTCCATGAACACCGTATCCAAAGAGGTAGATGCTGACAGCTGCAAAATATTCAGTCAGATAAAGAAAACTTGTGATGAAAAACGACTGCACTTTCAAATCAATACACGTTTTTTTCATATTTTCTTCTTTACAAATATAATATGTAATGTTTGGCATGCTTTTTTATCCAGCCCTCGTGCATTTGTACGAGCACCTTTTCCTGCAGACAGTACGGAAGAGGATTAGCGCCACTGAGAAAAAAAAAAAAAAAAAAGTGAACTCATTTTTAAATTTTTTTTTCAGTTCAATATAGGAAAAAAGTCAGAATTCTGACTTTTTTTTCTCAGAATTCTGACTTTAATCTCAGAATTCTGACAGCTAACAAACATGTTAGCATCAAGCCATAGCCATGTCTGTATTAGAGACTAGCTCTCTTGTTTTAATGACCTTCTGCTCCTCCATTAATGAGGGGACCCCTCGGGCACGTAAAAAGTTGCCTAATTCCGTCATTTTCCACCAATGTGTCACTGGCCACCTCAACAACTCACATCTTTGTCAGTGAAGCTGAGTTCTTCAATATCTCTTCCTTCATGGTGCCCATCTACATTAAGATCCAAAATTCTGAGATTAAAGTCAGAATTCGGAAAAAAAGCCACAATTGAGAAAAAAGTCAGAATTCTGAGGAAAAAAAAGTCAGAATTCTGAGATTAAGGTCAGAATTCTGAGAAAAAAAGTCGGAATTCTGAGGAAAAAAAAGTCAGAATTCTGAGTTTAAGGTCAGAATTCTGAGAAAAAAGTCAGAACTCTGAGATTAAAGTCAGAATTCTGAGAAAAAAAAGTCAGAATTCTGACTTTTTTTCCCCATGTTAAACTGAAATAAGATTTAAAAATCTGTTAACTTTTTATTTTTTTTCAGTGGCCCTAATCCTCTTCCATAAGCCAGAGCTGCAGGTCCTTTAGGTTTTGTTTCTGCCTGCTTAATTCATAGACACTTATATTTTCACCCATTCTTCTTTGCTGAGTGGCTCAAACAGCCAGTTTAGGTGACTTTCAACAGGAATTTTGTTAAAGATTTTTTATTCTATTCAGGTCTGGATACCAGGCCACTTTGGGAGTCCAACTCATTTTAATCTTTGGCCACTTTAAAATCATCCATTCTTTAAAAGGGCCAGGTGTAGCTTTGTAAACACAATTTTTAATTTCATTTTTTTTTTTTTTTTACTCACTGTTTTCTGATAAGAACTTTACTTCCATTTATTTATTTATTTATTTTTTAGTTTGTGCTCTTTGAAAGAACATGCCTCTACTTTATTACATGATGTGCCTGTTTTGGCTCTTGAAGGACGGATGAATTGCTGTGACGGGTTGGATTTTGCCCGCAGGCCTTGAGTTTGACGCATGCTTAATCTAAACCATGCCACTGTAGCTGTGAATGTATGTTTTCAGCCATTATCCTGCTGCAGGGCTCAAGGTTTTTGCAGTTTGACAGGTTTTCTTTCAGGACCGTTCTTCCTTTAGCTCTTTTTATTATCCTGTTAACTCTTCCCAGCTTCTCATTCCCTGCTTAGAACCACAGCCTGATGCTGCTGCCTCAGTTTGTAATTCAAGCTTTTGGGCTTTGCTTTGGTTGTTGGTTTGTTTCTCATCACAGAAACATTTTTAATCCAAGTCAAAACGTTTGGGGACAGACGATTCACACTTGAGTTTTTTTGTTTGTTTTTAAGATTATTTTTAGGCTTTAATTACTTTTTTTTCCTATTATATCAAAAGTAGGAAACAAGATTAGAGAGAGGGGGAAGATGAGGCAAAGTTCACCAGGCTGATACTCCAACATGTGACGGCCGTGTTGAGGTCTACGTCATTGGACGTTTACTTTACCCTTTAAACTTTCATCATCTAGTGGTTTTTGCAGTGACGATAAAACAGATGATAAAAAGTCATTTAGAAACAAATTTCATTGTTTTTGACAATATTTGGATCTGATTGGACGTCAGCCCCACAGACACGGATGCTGCTCTAGCAGAGCTATCCAAAATCCTCAAACAAATTGCAGATTTTTTGATTATCTATATCAGGACATTAGTTACAATAACTAGTCTAATTTTTTGGCTTAAGAGAAAACAATAACTGCAATAATTACACACCTGGACTTTATCTGCCCATTGGTTGATCTCTGAAGGCAATAGATTGCATTGGATATCATTTAGGGGTATCAGAGTATGATAATCTGAATAAATAATGTACTATTTTTATTTATAAAAAAGGTGTTTAAAAACCATGTATACTTTTTGTAGCATCCAGTGCAATTAGAAAAGGCCAGAAGTGGTGGTTGAAAGGTTTATTTGAACCATCCGTGCCTCAGACCAACGTAAGAGCTACAAACAATTTACAATTACAATTTAGTACACCATGCTTACCTCATTACATTGGTAACTTTTCTGTATTAAACATTTTCTAATTAACACAAACCTTGTTCCTCAATTGACTGATGCTTTAAACTTTACTATTATATGACTTTCCGTGGTCCTTTAATCAGTTTCTCTTCCAACGTTTTCTTGCTAACTTCCGGTTTTACGGACCCGTTTTGTGTTAAACTAACTTCCGGTTTTACGGACCCGTTTTGTGTTAAGCTAACTTCCGGTTTTACGGACCCGTTTTGTGTTAAGCTAACTTCCGGTTTTACGTACCCCTTTCAAAATAAAAGCATAGTCCTCTAATATAACCATCATGTAAAAAAAAAAAAAAAAAAAATTTTTTTTTTTTTTTTTTTAAACTACACTCTTCTACCGTTACACTTTTCATTGTACAGTTTTGGACCAATGTTGGCATGCTTGAGCTCGTGGCCTCGAAGTGCAGAATCTGAATTCTTTTTACTACCATTGTGCAAAAATTTTTATAAAATGCAATATATAAATGTATACTTTTATATATAGTACATTTTTAAAATTATGTATGAATATGGAATTAATCGAGAATATATTTTAAAATGTATTGTGTATAAAAGCATTACAAAATAAAAGATAATCTGATGTATGAATAACAAATATTGATGAAATAATATTCTGTCTTCTTTCATATTGATATTATGCTATATTCTTTTATTAAGGATGAAGAAGCACAAAAAGAGCTGGATTTACTCTGCCAAAAACTCTGACTGAGAAGACCTGAGGAATCATCCTGAAGCTGCGCTGTAGTTGCTCCTGATGTAGATCAAATACCAGAGGAAAGTGGCTGAAAATATCTGTTTGATTCACTCTGTGAGTGTAACCATGATGTTCAATCAATAGTGGGACCACAAGGCACCGTCCTTCTCCATTTTTTTTGTTTTCTTTTCTTTTTTAAACTGATGTTTTAATATCTCAACGGTTAGGTTTTGGTTTCTTATGAAATTATAAGTTTGTTTCTGTCAGATTTAGCTATTTGTTGATTTACATGTGCTGTGAAGATCTACTGTACGTTTGTTTTTATAGGGTTTTTGTTTTGTACTTGCTCCAGACTTTATACCATCGGTCACTTCGATGATTCATAAACTAGTGGCGTGGCAGATCTGGTTGTGAAGAACAGGCATGAAATTAATTTTAGTTTCCAACTGAAATGAGAGCGATGGGTCATATTCCAAAGTAACTCACAGTGAGAGACAGTTCAGTCTGTGAGCCAAATTCTACCGTTTACAGGCAGAACAAGTTTTTTTTTTTACAAGAAACAGGAATGAATCTGAAAGCTCCCCTTGGACTTGCTTCGACAGACTGCAGATGTGGTTATTCCCATCACTGGAGTCGGTAGTGAGCAGAAACAATTATGAAATAAAAGAAATAACCTTTCTCACATTAAAAAGTCATCCATAACAAGGTCTTACAGTAAACCAGGGAGATGCTGATTCAGTTTTATTAAGTAAAGTTTGCAATGCTGTGCCAAATTTGGGGCACTTTTTAACGCATCATTCAGTCTGGATTATCCTCACCACTGTAGTTCACGTTGGAAAACCTGCTCTGGTATTCCCAAACACTTTTTTTGTTGTTTTTATAATCCGAAAGTAGTGAAGTTCTGTTTGATAGTAGCTCTGACTGAATTTATGGGTTTGGTTTATGTTGACAGATAAGATGTTCACACTAAATCAGACACTTTTTATAGAATAAAAAACAAAGACGACCTTCTTTATGCTATTTAAAGTTGTTCCTGTCTGTGTGACTTTGACGTATTTTTCGGACTGAGCATGAAAGCATAAGGAAAGGTTACGGTAAATATTGGATTATAGCAGACTTCGTGTATCTGTTTTTCTCTAATGTGTTTAGGTTTCCGGCCTTTAACCTCCCTGATTTCTTTAGGGTCAGAAACTTAAACCTCCGACAGCTCTGGGTGCAGTGATGTCATAACTGCGCACCTTTTTAACCTCAGTCGACCATGAATTTTAATTCTGAAACTGCACACATGAGTAACAGTGAACTCTCCCATGTTCTTTAGCCTCTGAGAAAGTGAAATTACTTGATCAGTGTGGAGGAGGTGATGAGGAACGGGAAAAATATCCCGCAGGATTTGTTGGAAAATGCAGCTGTGAATCATCTGGGCTCTGATTTACATATTTCTCCCTGAAGCAAACCTGAATGTCAGACTTTCTACACTTTATTGCTCTGATATGTTTATTTTTTTTATGTTCTACATCAATGTTAAGATGTTTTATTATTTTTATTTCTTAAACATGTAAAGACGAATCTCATTACACTTCATTTATATGTATAAAGTTTGAAACGATGCTGATTTAAAAGTTATTTAAGCTGTAATCTAATGATAATGTAAAGAAACATGTAACCAAACTTTGATCATCAGGGTTTTTTGTTGTGATGAAAAAAAAATCTGTATATTGCTTTGTTGTTTTTGTTCATTTGAATGTATCTTAGCTACTGTTGATTGACTACATTTGAATGCCTCATCTTTATCCTGTTTCTTTACATTCCTCAATGTTGTCTTTATCTATTGGCACCTAATGAAAACATGCAGAATGGATTTTATCAAGAAGAACATTGATTTTCAGTTTGATGAACCATTACTGTGTGGATTTAACCCAGACGTCTTCCACAAGGGCGTCTAAAGATTTTGATTTAAGATGACAGTGGCACAAATGTTTTTACCAAAAGATGAAAAATAAAAAATACAATTTTTTTAGCAGTTTTTCTGCTTTTCTTTAATGGAATAGTTGCCTTACAATTCCACAGCATAATAGGATAAAAAGTAGCCTTGTGAGACCATCCTGATCTCCCGAACTTTCAAGGTTTCACTCTCAGATCAGTCTGGAGACTCTCCGTTAAAGAAAATTTGGAGCCTTTCAGCAAACGAACGTCCAATCAGCGTTGGCTTTGAGGCGGGTTGAGGTGTGACGCAACGAGAAGCGCGACAGTTCAGTCTAAAGAACATGGCGGCTTCAGCCGATGAAACTAGCGTTAGCGTGGCTATCGAGCAAGTTTTATCGGAATTACAGAGTATTTCTTCACTGAAAGAAGAGCAAAACACTGCTCTGGAGGCTTTTCTCAGAGGAAAAGATGTTTTTGCTCTTCTCCCGACTGGTTTGGGCAAGAGTTTGATCTATCAATTGGCTCCTCTTCGTCGTTGCTCTGTTACGTCATATGCTTCGTTGATCTGATTGGTTTATTTGGCCCGTCTATCACCAACATAGGCCAATCAGCTAACCAGTATTTTCGCCCCTTCCCAAAATTACTTCAACGGAAGGTTTCCAGATGGATATGCGGAACAAATCCATCTGCGGAGTCAGGTTAGATAAAAAGTACCTGCAGTGTAAATAATTTTCTTTTTCTTGCTGCCATGTTGGAAACCTTTTTTCTACTTATTTTATTTTTACCAGATTTCAACATCCAGTTGACATTTTTTCAATCTTTCATCTTTTTTATACATTTTGTTTTCTTTTAAATCCTCATAGTGTATTAAAATGGTACTCTTTTAGAAAACGACCATGTTACTGTGTGATCAATTTGTAATTCAAAATCATTAGGCTGCTCAGTGGCGCACTGCTGCCTTGCAGCAGAAAGGTTCCGGGTTCGATTCCCGGCCTGGGGTCTTTCTGCATGGAGTTTGCATGTTCTCCCTGTGCATGCGTGGGTTCTCTCCGGATACTCCAGACTTCTCTAAATTCTCCTTAGGTGAGTGTGTGCGTGAATGGGGGTTTCTCTCTACAGGTGCTGGTCATAAAATTAGAATATCATGAAAAAGTAGATTGATTTCAGTAATTCCATTTAAAAAGTGAAACTTGTATATTATATTCATACATTACATACAAACTCATATATTTCAGATGTTTATTTTGTTTAATTTTGATGATTACAAATGACAACAAATGAAAATCTCAAATTCATCATATCAGAAAATTAGAATATTGTGAAAAGGTTCAAAATTGATGGCCCCTGGTGCCACACTCTAATCAGCTAATTAACTCAAACCACCTGCAAAAGCCTTTAAATGGTCTTTCAGTCTAGTTCTATAGGCTACACAATCATGGGGAAGACTGCTGACTTGACAGTTGTCCAAAAGACGACCATCGACACCTTGCACAAGGAGGGCAAGACACAAAAGGTCATCGCTAAAGAGGCTGGCTGTTCACAGAGCTCAGTGTCCAAGCACATTAATAGAGAGGCGAAGGGAAGGAAAAGATGTGGTCGAAAAAAGTGTACAAGCAAGAGAGATAACCGCACCCTGGAGAGGATTGTGAAACAAAACCCCTTCAAAAATGTGGGGGAGATTCACAAAGAGTGGACTGCAGCTGGAGTGAGTGCTTCAAGAACCACCACACACAGACGTATGAAAGACATGGGTTTCTGCTGTCGCATTCCTTGTGTCAAGCCACTCTTGAACCACAGACAGCGTCAGAAGCGTCTTGCCTGGGCTAAAGAGAAACAGGACTGGACTGCTGGTGAGTGGTCCAAAGTCATGTTCTCTGATGAAAGTAAATTTTGCATTTCCTTTGGAAATCAAGGTCCCAGAGTCTGGAGGAAAAGAAGAGAGGCACTTCATCCACGTTGCTTGAAGTCCAGTGTAAAGTTTCCACAGTCAGTGATGGTTTGGGGTGCCATGTCATCTGCTGGTGTTGGTCCATTGTGTTTTCTGAGGTCCAGGGTCAACGCAGCCACATACCAGGAAGTTTTAGAGCACTTCATGCTTCCTGCAGCTGACCAACTTTTTGGAGATGCAGATTTCATTTTCCAACAGGACTTGGCACCTGCACACAGTGCCAAAGCTACCAGTACCTGGTTGAAGGACCATGGTATCCCTGTTCTTAATTGGCCAGCAAACTCTCCTGACCTTAACCCCATAGAAAATCTATGGGGTATTGTGAAGAAGAAGATGCAATACACCAGACCCAACAATTCAGAAGAGCTAAAAGCCACTATTAGAGCAACCTGGGCTATCATAACACCTGAGCAGTGCCACAGACTGATCGACTCCATGCCACGCCGCATTGCTGCAGTAATACAGGCCAAAGGAGGCCCAACTAAATACTGAGTGCTGTACATGCTCATACTTTTCATGTTCATACTTTTCAGTTGGCCAACATTTCTATAAATCCTTTGTTTTTATTGGTCTTCAGTAATATTCTAATTTTCTGATATGATGAATTTGAGATTTTCATTTGTTGTCATTTGTAATCATCAAAATTAAACAAAATAAACATCTGAAATATATGAGTTTGTATGTAACGTATGAATATAATATACAAGTTTCACTTTTTAAATGGAATTACTGAAATCAATCTACTTTTTCATGATATTCTAATTTTATGACCAGCACCTGTATGTTGTCCTGCGATGGACTGGCGACCTGTCCAGGGTGTAGCCCGCCTCTCGCCCATAGACAGCTGGAGATGGGTACCAGCACCCCTCGTGACCCTGTTTGGGATAAGCGTGACAGAAAATGGATGGTTTGGCTGAGGGTATAAACAGAATAGAATTCAACTTTATTGTCCCTCTGGAATCCAGGAATAGGTGGGCTTCTTCTAAGAAGTAGGCTTCCAATTCTAAAGAATGGTGTCACTTGAAAGGGCATTGAATGTAGAATGCAGGCGTCGATCAGTTTTTGCAGAAAAAGTGTTGAAGATGCTACCTCTCTTGCACTCTAAAGAAGTGATCTACCATTTAAGCTAATTCTGCACGTGCAAATACCTCATTTGATTGTAAAAAAAAATCCCGATCCCATAATGATCCAATGCATAACTATTTGCATTGGATCAGTACTGTTAAAAGACCAAGTGTCACTCAGTTTTCATGTTGTTTTTGGGTCTTGATGTAATATGCCCCACTTTATACAAGCCTGACATTACCAAGAGAAACCCCAGTAACAGTCCGCAGCAGAACCTTGTTTCACTCAAACCCAACTAGAGTCTTGAGTCTTTGAGCTCAGTCTCCAAAAACTGCACGTTTTTGTCTGTGATGGTTTTTTCCCTGGACATTGGGACAAAACTTATTCTCCTAAAGTGCATCTTCAGTTTGAAGCATGGATAGAGGGGCATCTTTACACTTCTTCTGCAAAAACTTACTCTGATTTATGTCGTAGATAAAGGTTGAGGTTGTTTTTGGATCCTTATCCTGGTGAAAAATTAAATCACTACCTCATAAATAGTTTGCAGAGCTTAGGGTGTAAGAACACCATAAATCCTTTCCATTACTTACCAATTATAAAATGTTTCCACGTTCATCCTTTAACTCATATCAGACCCAAATAGGTGCTTTGCTTCTGGAAAACTCATCTTTGGTCCCGTCCCACCAACGCCTCAGGTCCAGTTGAATTGGGAGATTCCACAGGTTTGTGTCAGTGATGGTCGGCCGAGAAAGGAATTTCCTGGAAAGGAAAGACGGCAGCGTTTTTCCAACGTGTGAAACCCACTCTTTGCTGCTGCAGTATTCCAATAGTGAGGTATTTTTACCTCATTTGGAATCCTTGTTTTTGGGCTTCATGTAGTTTTGTATCTCACATGAATTCAAAGATTTTATAACTAGTTCAGTGGCTTTTATATGACTTTACTAATTTGCTTTGATCTCCTTGCTTTTCCTATTTTGAAGAGTGAAATTTGTTTGGGTCGTGTCAGATAAACCCAAAGTTACAGCTTTAAGCCAAATATTATGCATTAAAACAGGGCCGTGCAGAGACCACTAAAGGGGCAGGTGCTCAAAAAAAAAAAAAAAAAGGGCACATCTTATCGCATTTTAGGACAGAATATTAACAAAGTCACATAGCTTTCAGAGTTTAATGAACAATGATAAGTGACAAAATTGTGAGACATACAATCAAAGCTAAGGGAAACACAAGAACAACAGCCTAATGTCTGTATGATAAAAATACTGAATCGATAGATAAGAACAGCTGTTCCTCACCTGCCTGTGTCCTCCCGCTCAGTAGTTCTTCAGAGAAAGGCGCGCCGCGTCCTATACTTTCCTCCGTTTAAACCGCTACTCTTTGCTAAAGTAGAGAAATTATACAACGTTCAAAGTTTTCCGTTGCAAGCCTACTCCTGTATTTTCACCAAAAATTATGTTTTTTAATTCACAAAAAAACTGTTCTGTAATCATTACAGAACAGTTTTTTTGTGAATTAAAAAACATAAATTTCAATGTAAAATACTAAAAGCACAGAGTAAACAGTGTTTTAGATCAAACAATACTGCATCATCCATGGGGCTCATTTGGTTTCACTTACATGTCTATTCAGGTTGACATTGGAGAGGCGGTGCAGACTGAAGACATAGCTAGGGTGACCATATTTTCCATCTTGAAAAACCAGGACACCTTGGAGCGGGGGGGGGCGGCGGCGGGGGATCTCTGTTCCCATGCATAGGCCTAGGTAATCCTACAATAACATGATATTAACAGTTGGTTTATTAAAAATGATTTTCAGTAAAAGTCAACAGCAATAACTCCAATAACAAATGATAATTTTATTCAAAATGTATTTATTAAAAATGCTAAACAATTCCTGTGATGAATGAATAGCACAATGAAAGAAATAATGTCTCATCTAAACATCCCTCACTTAACAATAAAAGTTAACAATAACTCTCAACTCCCAATATGATGATACTCAGCCTCAGCAATGAACGAAATAATGTCTGTTCTGTAGGTTATTGGAAAAAATAAACAAATTAGCTAATTAACAAAAAATACCTC